AGTATTAACAAATTTAAGCAATTGAGCCAGCGAAGTTTCCGAAATTTGGTTGATTTGACACGGAATGACCTATATGCATTTTTTTAACGGGCCTCAAACAACAAGTGCAACGACGGGGTGTTTATAGACATTCACTATGTATCATGACGAAGGACAGTATATTATTTTCATCCGAGTAGCCTTATACAGCAGTGGCCAAAATGATTAGAACACTAGTATTTTCAACAGCTAAAAAATGATTTTAAGTCAGTTATTTCTATCTTTTGCTGTGCTCCACACAGAGATCAGATCTCATCATCATCCAGTCTGTCATGAAGAAACAGAACAAACTCCAAGATGCTTCAAGTGACCAAAATGCAATGCTACCTGAAAATCTATACGCAAGTGCACCTAGGGTAAAAGCTGCTTTAAACGCAAACCAAATGTTGATTTAATTTAGTTAATAGAAGCTAATTAAAAAAAAATATTTATGACATTATTTTTGACAGCATCCTCATTTTACAGCATTTTTACACACGTGCCTAAAACTTTTAACAGTACTGTAGCTTTGCAGATAGATCTCTTAAAGCATCTTGGAGACATTGCCACAGTTCTTCTGGATTTAGTCTGTTTCAGTTTGTTCTGTTTCTTCAAGTCATTCCAGACAGACTGCATGAGATCAGACCTCTGTGTGGAGCACTGGCTGTTGTCAGACAAAAATCTCACTGGATTATTACAATTAATGGCAAAATTAATGTTTAGAAATGCAAACTGATATTACTTACTGACACGCTACAGCAAAAGATAGAAATACCTGACTTAAAACCCCTTTTAGCTGGTGAAAATACTAGTGTTCTAATCATTTTTGCCACCACTGTAAATGTATCATCTTTGTAAAGTACCAAGTCATCCAAATCCAACATAAGAGTAATTAATAGTTGTCTATTCGGCAATTTACATAATAAACCAAGGTGCTCTGCATAAAACGCAACCTTGAGTAGCATAACTCGCACTCTACCCAGTACTTTTGACAAGACGAGTCTAGAATGTCAATACTAAACTACTGCATGCAAACAGTCTTGGCACGGCGGCCCAAGAAATATTCGCAGACATAAAAATGTCAAATACATTACTAATTCGTTTTAGTTGCACTCTCCGGCCTTCTTTTAGTCAAATTCATCCACAAATGTCCCACTTATTCCCACTTATGAGTTCGTACTTGTTGTCCATTAACGTACTTTTCAACTGCTTACTACCAAGTACGGATCCCTGCACATATATTTACCCTGGCCATGAGTTATGAATGCGTTCCCTCGTTATAGTAAATCGTGGTGAATTTATATTAATTTAAATTAATAAAACGAATATTATATTATATTATTATAGCACGGTTTACATGTGGTTAAATAAATTTGACTTGTAAATGACCTCATATGGGGTGCAAAAATAACAAATGTGATGAGGCAAATAATAATAACAATAACAATAATAAAAATCGTTGTTGTTGTTAGTATTATTATTAATAATAAACATATTATTTAAATAATAATATCAATAATCGATCTGTCATATGGCGTAATTTGGGTATTTATTATTATTATTATTATTATTATTATTATGAGAACCCTTTCTCTCGCGTTCTGAGGGCTTTCATGACTCCTCCTGCTTTCCGTAGTAAGACCGAAGGGGGCGGGACCGGCATGGCGGCCAAGGTGAGTTACACTTCCAGTTGAGTTAGTTCAAATGATAGTGTGTACTATTTAATAATATGTGCATTCTGCAGAATAGTATCACACATCTTGACAAGTATACTTTTTTTTATCTGCACGATGCAGCTGTTAATCCGAACGTAAGCACGGTGTTTGTTAAACCAGAGCAAAGAACATGCCGTCCTCAAACTCACTCTCACTGGCTGTGTCTTAAAACATAACCTGCTGCCTAGACATCACTCTGAGGCACCTGTCTCTAGTCAGGCAGCTGACGAGGTTTTGAGAGACGACATTAGCTGCGTCCCAAATGACACACTATGCACTTTACACTATGTACTCAGCCATGTAGTGTGTGAATTATATAAGGTTATTCTGTCATTAATAAACGGAGTCTGCTAGCCCCTCCCCCTTCGCTACGTAATTAAAGCTGCGGCAGATGAGTGCATGAAGTGTCCAACATTCCACACTTCGTTGTTTCGGTTATTTAAGTGCATCATCCGGGTATTTCAAGTGCACTTTTTCTTTGTGAAAATGTCAGTGTGAACGCACTACTCGCACTATTTATACTACAAAACGTCATAGAATAGTGCATAAGTACGCGATTTGGGACACCTTTTTTTCTCTCGGTCACTCGAGACAGTAGGATTGGGATTATTACACGCAGCAAAGCGTCTTCTCTCGCTTCAGTCCATTAAACTAAGACAGATAATGTGCTTAAGGCAAAATCAAGGAGCTGAAACGGAGAAAACACTCAGCCAGGCCAAAGCTGATAGTTAGTATACCACACACGTTATGATATTATGGTCAACAATTCAAGTCAGTCTGTATTATTAAACTGTTGTGTTGATCCTCAGATTCTGAAGTATGCAGCCCTTCCTGCTGTTGCAGTGGGTTTGGGCTCATTCAGGATTTATTCCATAAATGAGAAAATAAAGGAGGAGCTAATATCTCCAAGAGAGGTAAGAAAAATCATGTTTGGAATGGTATATGCCATACTATTAGTATTGTTATTGCGGTATGTATGTGGTGTGCAATTTGTTAATTTCCTGTATGCATGGAATACCTGAGTGACCTACTACATTCTTCAAAATATGTGAACAATGTACCATACAATTGTTTGAAATGTTAGTAGGAAGTGCAAGCTTGCACTTTAGACAAATTATGTACATTTCCATTCAAATGTATAGGGTCAGTAAGACAGTTGAAGGGGTCATATGATGCGATTTCAAGTTTTCCTTTCTCTTTGGAGTGTTACAAGCTCTTGGTGCATAAAGAAGATCTGTACATTTGCAAAGACTAAAGTCTCAAATCCAAAGAGATATTCTTTATAAAAGTTAAGAGTCAGCCACGCCTACCTAAAACGGTTCGTTCTAACACGCCCCCACATATCTACCTCACTATGTGGGAAGATTTGCATAACGCCGCCCAAATGTTCATGCAAAGAAAGAAGGCGTAACTTTTATTCTCGCTGTAGTATTGTTGTTGCCGCTGCCACCATGTCGTGAAGACGCTGTGTGCTTCGTTGTGAAAGCGAAACTACTTTGTTTGGTCTTCCAAAAGAGGACGATATCCGCTTCGTCATGCCTAGAGCTGATCTGTGCTGGTCGCTGTGACTGTTTACTGATCCTGGGAGAGTAACGTTAGACTAAAATGTAGCAGTTCTGACTCACGTAAGTACATTTTCATTTAAAGGATTTGCCACTGATGATGAGCGAGTGAGCTAGAGGGAGGAAATGACCTGTGAACCTGCCCTTTAACTCTTGATCTTCTCTGGTTTTAGACTCGTATCACTTCCTTCGAGATCCACCTCCTGGCTTCCTGCCTAGAGTGGGTGTCATCGGTGTGTCCGGATTGGGTGGCCTGATACTGGCACGCAAGGGTTAAGTGTTGTTTTACTGTTTAAAAATAGAGCTGGGTATCGAGTTCGATACTTTTTAGGCACTGACCGAATTGTGTCAATACCACTGAGTATCAAACAAATGGCTTGTCATTCGATATACCAAATTTTGATATCTAAGGGTTTAATTTGGCTTTGGTGAGGCATCAAGGTAAAACACTAGTTTACGGTGCTTACATCATCATACATGAGGCTATAGTGTGCAAGCATCAAAACACCCATAGATGAAAGGCTACGTTTACTCTAGAGCATTTTTCTTTTAAAATAAAAACAGTACTTGTCCGTACTGGTGTTTCCACTTCAGAAAAGATCTCCGTCCACACGACCAAAAACGCACGCAAGACAATTTAGAAGATTTATACTACACTTTTACTCAAAACTCACTTTAAATCACCATCGAGTGTTTGAAAAAAGTTTTTTTGAGGTAATGTAATATTGTAAACCTGTATGAATTTTTGTCTTCACAAAAAAGAAAATATTTGGAAGAATGTAGTTAACCAAACCGTTGCTGGTAGCCATTGACTTCCATAGAATTTTTTTCATACTATGGAAGTCGGTGGCTACCAGCAACTGTAGGGTTATCAACATTCTTCAAATTATCTTCTTTTATGTTCCACTGAGTAAAGAAATTCATACAGGTTTGGAACAACTTGAGGATGAGTAAACAATGACATAATTTTCATTTTTGGGTGAAATATCCCTTTAACATTTAAAGGGGTCATATGATGCGATTTTCCTTTCTCTTTGGAGTGTTACAAGCTGATTGTGCATAGATAAGATCCCTGAGGTTGCAAAGACTAAAGTCTCAAAACCAAAGAGATATTCTTTATCAAAGTTAAGACTCTGCCACGCCCCCCTAAAACGGCTCGATCTAACACGCCCCCCCATATCTAGGTCACTATGTGGAAATATTTGCATAATGCGCCCAAATGTTCACGCAAAGAAAGAAGGCGTGGTTTCAGTAACCGCAGTTAGTGTTGAAGCAGCATGTCAGGGAGACGCTGTGTGTTTCTAGGTGAAAGCAAAAGCACTTTATTTGGCCTTCCGAAAGTAGATGCATTTAGGAATCTTTAAGATTACTTACAACAGAACAGCAGTGCATTTTATGGACAACCGTTTCGTGAACCTAGGAGAGGAGGTATTTCTGACAATCTGGCGCTTCTGAATCAGCTACGGTTTTGTTATTAGTTTAAGTATTTGCTATTGACTGTTCAAATGCGGAGGTTTGCGCATCGTGTGTGTGTTTTTTTTTAACATTAAAGCATGTCAACATATTCTGTTACACCAAATACACAAAAAAATGATCTTTAAAAAAAAAGCCTCATATGACCCCTTTAACAATTCTGTAGTCTTTTGAATACTGAAAATCAAAAAAGTAAAAAAATTTATAAATATACTGTTTAAATTTAGGAAGGCTAAATCTCACTGGTCAAGTTGCTGTTGGAGGGTGGTGCAGGAGGGTAGCAGTAATGTCCTCCAACCGAAGTCCTCCGCAGCATGACACTGTCCTTCAGTGTCTTAGTCCACTGAATGAATGCTTTAACTTTTGGCTCATTGACATAGGGCTGCTTTTTATGACAGCCTGTTAAAGCACACACACAGACAAATAAATAAAGCTGTGTTGATTGTGATAATCTGTGACCTCATTGGCTGATTGAATGCTCTGGCTGAAATCTACCTGTGATGAAGAGATGTGTTTCTGTGCTACTGGTCAGATACACAGAACAGCCCGTCTTACACACTCTCATCTGGGTGCAGACCAGATACGTCACTGCAGAGCAAGAGAGATCATAAATAAGGTAATTTAGCAGAAGAGAAATGCAATGAATGTGTACACGGACTGCTGTTTTACTTGGGCAGATGTTGTTGAAGATCTCTGGCTGGGAAGAGGAGAAGATCTCCAGGATGAATGCGGAGTCCGTTGTCCCATCCACTGCATGTACCCAACGATACGCCCAGAACTTTTCAGGTCCTGACACACACACACACACACACACACACACACACACAAGCAGATGTAACGGTGGTTTGACCAATTCCCAACCCTAAGTATGAATGTAGCTTATATTAGCAAGCACTATTACTGACAACCAGCTGTTTAATACCTGTCTTCTCCTTGCTCCTAATTCGCTCAACCCGGCCCACGTATGTCACTAGACCAATGATGTCACAGGCTTGGTTATTATTCATCGAGTCCACCTCTGACCTGATCACAGGGAGAGGTTTAGAAAATTGTTGATAGGTTTCATGACAAATTTACATGTATTGTAAATAAGACAAATCAATAACATAAAGGTATTAAAAACAAGCAATTAAAATCCAATAAAATAACATTAGTTATTTTGCTATGCTTTGTTTGCATATTTGCATTTGACACACACTGATTTATGCTACCATTCAAACAGTTGGTATCAGTAAGATTTTGTTTTTGTAAAAAACATTTTTTTTTTAAGAACTCTCTTATGCTCACCAAGTTTGCATTTATTTGATCAACCATACTGAGAAACAGTAATATTGTAAAATATTATTACAATTTAACTGTTTTCAATTTTTGCCATATTATAATATGTCTCATTTATTCCTGTGATGGCAAAGTTTAGTTTTCAGCAGTTTCCAGTGTCACGTGATCTCTCAGAAATCATTCTAATATGCTGATTTGTTCTGTTTAATGATTTAGTGGAAACTGTAATCATTTCTTTCAGGATATCTTAGAACAGCATTTATTTGAAACAGAAATCTTTTGTAATATTATCCAGTCTTTACGATCACTTTTTGAACAATTTAATGTATGCTTGCTGAAAAAAAGTCGATTTTTGAGACACAAAAAAAACTGACCCCAAACTTTTAAATAGTAGTGTACATTCTTGCAGGACGTCCTGTATTTGGACATAATGCAACATGAGGGTGTCCTGAAATTTTAAATAAATCTGTGTACCTTGTGGCAAAGTTGTATGGGACATCAGGCAGATCCCACTGAGGCTGAACACTTTTTGGAGGAATCACTGTCACTACAGAGGCAGGACTTCGAGGATTCAGGCTGATCTCTACAAACCCACAGAACAACCACAAACAAAGAGCTGAAATAAAACTTTTTCAAGAGATGGTCCAATACTGAACCTAGGTGGAAATGCAGCATAAGAAAGCTAGCAACTAAAAAGCTCCGGAGTCATACCAATGGAGTGGAAAGTCATAAGAGAGAGTGTGCGGATATGTGGTCTAGAGCGGTTTTGATAACTGTGTTTCAATGAGTACTGCTGCAGATACAGAACCGAGCCGACTGTCAGTCTGTTGAACCATTCAGGACAAAGATCATTCCATACAACCATAGACATGACGCCACTCTGATCAGCCACCTCACAGTACACCTGAAAGAGAGGAAGAGGGAGGAAGTGAAAGAAAGAGATCATAGCCCCAAAATGTTTGCAGTGCAGAAGAACCTGCAGACAAAAAGAACCTTTGACGTTGACTCACCTGAAATGGGAAGTCAATGTTTTGTCCTGGTTTGCCATAGTACCGTATCCTGGACCTGTGCAGAATTCGGACCAGCAGTGGGAGAGGTCGTCTGGAGCTGTGAAAGAACGCTTCCAGATCGGCCAGAAGTGTGATTCTAGACACTGACACACAGAAATATAACATGACAAGCTATAATAAAAGATCACACACTCCTATTACACAACAAATTACGTGTGGCTGCGTTAAAATTGTACTTAATGTAAACGGTCTTATTCCACATTCTCATTTCTTTTACACAAATTATTTGTGTTGACTCCATTTATTAAACTCAGTTATTTAACCTTTAGAAAATAGTTTTTAATATATAAAAAGCATTCAAATACATGTATTTTATTTTATTTAAAACAACATTTAAGCCAACATTTTGGTGCTACAATAACTAGCTTCAGAAAACATCAAATATAAGTGAAGTTTCTACTACGTTAATGCTTCAAATAACTTTAGTCAAGATAAAATGGCAAAATATGGGCGAAATGTTCCATCGCCATTCAGTGTAACAGATATATTCAAGTAAAAAAAAGAAACAATATACTTATTCTGACCTGCACAAATTAAACTTTGTACATACCAAATAAAAAACTCTTGCTGACAAATGGGCAAACCCTAGTGGTTTTAAGGTTAGTGGCAAAGATGGGTAATTACTTTTGGGGGGCTGCACTGTGAACCTTAAACAGAGTCTTTATAAAGTTTTGAAAAGAACATGATCTCATACCATCAATGACCACGTCTGGCGGTGGGCTATAAGGAGCCCAAACACTTCCATAAGGATCATCGTTTATCCACAGTGGTAAATAATATTTTCTGCTCAGCTGCAGGGGTCCATCGGACCGGGTCACATGGTCCTGACACCACTCCGTGATACTCCCCACGTCTTGAATGGACAGAAACCTCTCCGGGAGCTCCACGACGCTGTGGATGCTATCTATCCTGATGTAACTGTGACTCAGCCTCGTCTCGTCGTGGACCATCGACAGCTGGGACACCAGGACCCCGGCCCCGCAGCGCAGCGAGCCCGTCCTCACCCACCGACTCAGACTGTCCGCCAGCTGACACTTTATCCGCCACCGGCCGTCCGTTACCGTCAGGTCGTAGCTGTAGCTCTCAGCAGCGGGATGCTGTGCGCTTAGGTAGCGGTCGAGAGCGATGACAGCCAGGCACAGCGGCCCGGTGAGGGTCAGGGAGAGAGTGTGCGCGGACCGCAGCTGCTCAAACACCGCCTGGAGAGCAGAACCGGACCCGCTGTCACTGCGATCCGCCGGGCCTGCCATCACTGAAACCACCACCGACGGTTAAAACGTCCAGATCCAGACTCAAACCTGTTCAATCTAGTATATAAAAACGACTGTTGATAGGAGACAGATACTCACTTGGCTTACTTATATGAAATATACAGGGTTTTAGATACTCACTTAACGTACTTATATGAAATAGACAGGGTTTTAATCATTTACATTTTGAAATAATATAAGTGTATGCGTTTGTATTGCTCATGAAGTCAGCTCAAACCTCACGGAATGTAAACAAACTCCAAGCGCGCGGTGAGTTCGTGTTTCTTCTTCCCGAGCAACTGAAAACTAAACGTTAACCACAGCGCCACCTACAAGCACGGAGGACACAACAGCGACACCTAAGTTCACTGACAAGCAGGCAGCTTTTTTACGGTCATTAAGCGTATTACGATAGAAAATATCTTTAAATCTATATTGTTGGAGTAACACAATTTCAGAAGAAACAAGAAACTGTGGAATACAATTTGAAGCAAAAGTTGGCTTTTCCTCATCCGATATACTGTATATTTATAATATGCATTTTATAACTAATGTAGCACAAAACCAGTCATAAGGGACTATTTTTCGAAATTAATATGTATACATCATCTGAAAGCTGAATAAATAAGCTTCCCATTTATGTATGGTTTGTTAGGTAGGACAATATTTGGCCAAGATGCAACCATTTGAAAATCTATCTATCTATCTATCCATCCATCCATCATATATCTATCCATCCATCTATCATCTATGCATATGTTATTAGTAAATGAATAGTGTACATATTCAAGGTACATTTGAATTAATTGCATTTATTTCACAAATGAATCTTAACTTTGACAGAAGTCAATATGAGCTCCATACAGTAGCCTACAAAAACTGGTTGGCACAAAAATGTAGTGTTTTAGGAAAAATGACATCAAAGTGGCCAGAAAGAACAGTGTGTGTGCTAGTAAATCTTAGTACATTTAAAATAACTATTTCTGAAACGAAGTATTTCTGGTCAAATTTGATTTATTATACATTTCAGAGCTGCTGAAAGACAAAAGGTGAGACACCATGGCTGGTTCTTCATATATGGGTCAAATTTGAGATGGAATGCTTTCTTTTATAAAACTAGGGGGAAAAAATGTGTATATAAAAATAACCGTTTACATAAAATATAATAAATGTTTATATAGAAGTAATAAGTAATACATACATAATTTTAAATGTGTATTACTTTTATATAAACCGTTATATTTTATGTAACAAATTTTTGTTTTAAAAAATACTGTGTATTGAAAAGTAATTGAGTCGGTATAACATCCAAACTGTTTCAGAATGTAAACTTTTTTTATTATTAATTTCTTTTAAAACAATATTAACAATATGTTAAAGCTTGTTGTGATGGTATATGTACACAGAAGAATAAAAGGGGGAAAAACAAGCCATACATTGACTGTGCAACATCAACTCGCTGAACTGACAAACAGAAAGCTTTACGTCCCCCCAAAGTAAGACACTTCAATAATTAATCTGTTACAAAATACCTGTTTTTACTTTCTGTATATAAATTTATTTCAATCTATTTGACATCTTATAAAATAGACAACTATATTTTTCTAGACATTTTTTGTATATCTTATATTACAATATCTTCCATGCATTTTCTGCAGAGTATCAGCAGAGATGGCTGTTTATGCCAGGTGTCATTTTCCGTCTCTTCCCCTCACCTGGGAGAATATAAATGCACTGACACATAACACATACACTCACAAATCCATGAGGCCTAAAACCTCATCAGAACAGACACTTTTGGGGAGAAATTCAGGCCAGAGAGAGCGAGAGAGAGAGAGAGAGAGAGAGAGAGAGAGAGAACATAAAGAAAGGGAAAAAGAATAAAGTGCAGTCTCCACAACCAGAGCATAGTTTCACAGAGAAAGAGAGTCAGTACAGTTTCAATCTACCACTCACAACCCAATCAATGAACACAAACACATCTGCAAAACAATGAGACCTTTAACTCGAGAAACATTTGAGTCTTAATGTTCGAGCCTGGCTGGCAAAATATTTCATGAAAACACCGCAAATGGGCAATAAATGAAGGATGAAACAGCTTATTTTGTTCGGGGGACGATGTACACTCTATATGGCCATCACAGTGGCAACTGGCATAAGTCATAACCTTTGGATTTATTTGTCCAACTCATTTTAAAATCAATGATTTATAGCTCCTCCGTCTGGTTTGTTGCTGCGAACAGACACTTTTGGGGAGAAATTCAGGCCAGAGAGAGCGAGAGAGCGAGAGAGAGAGAGAGAGAGAGCACAAAGCAAAATACATAAAGAAAGGGAAAAAGAATAAAGTGCAGTCTCCACAACCAGAGCATAGTTTCACAGAGAAAGAGAGTCAGTACAGTTTCAATCTACCACTCACAACCCAATCAATGAACACAAACACATCTGCAAAACAATGAGACCTTTAACTCGAGAAACATTTGAGTCTTAATGTTCGAGCCTGGCTGGCAAAATATTTCATGAAAACACCGCAAATGGGCAATAAATGAAGGATGAAACAGCTTATTTTGTTCGGGGGACGATGTACACTCTATATGGCCATCACAGTGGCAACTGGCATAAGTCATAACCTTTGGATTTATTTGTCCAACTCATTTTAAAATCAATGATTTATAGCTCCTCCGTCTGGTTTGTTGCTGGTCCTAGATGGTTGGAGAAGCTAATGACCACCTAGTAACCAGCAACAGTGTTCTAAAACACATATTGGGATGTATTCGTAGGTTGAGCAACCTAAAATTTACAGTTAAATCAGACTCAAAATGTAGTTTCTCTCATGTCTAGAGAGACATAAAGAGCATTTGTGAGACCCAAAGATAATCTCAGAGCAGCAGAAGGTGATAAATGGGAGGCACCAATGCAGAACACCCTATACTCTGAAACACACCAACATCTTCCTCATCTTTTCTAGTGTGACTCCAGGGAGACCGAACAAAACGCTGAGATGAACCGGTCATGTGATTCACAAACCTTTCAAAACATTTAGAAATGGTTCAGGTGGGCTGATTTGGGACCTAAATGAGTTCTTGGGAATGGGGGAATCGATATTGTAAGGTCTGAGTATAGTTTGTAGTATCTGAACCATCTTATTTGATATATTGTGGAGATGTCACACCTGAGAGAGTCGGGGAGTTTAACACTTTCTATACATGACTGAAGAAATGTTGAGGAGATTTGCGTACAAAAATACTTTCGGTTTTCATTCAAACAGCACGCTGGCTTTTACTAAGCGTTTCTTGCTAATACAAGAAAACATACCTGACAAAACCAGAATTCTCTTCGATAAGTATAAATTACACACATTCTTGTTTTTCGATTTGCATTGCACAACATACAGAAGGGCACATGATCTTAGACTGTCTTGAACAGAATTTTCTTCATGTGCTATGCTTGACAGGATGGAGGAAAGTGCAAGCTTGAAGTCCCAGCAAAGAAAAAATTGTAAATGATTTTCTGATTGTCAGATGTCTGTGATTTTTCACAACATTCCAGAACATCTAAACATTTTTGCCCGTTGCCCGACACTTCCGTATCTACATCAACTCCCCAAAAATAATAATCCAAAAAAAAAAAAAATATGCTTGACAGGATGGAGGAAAGTGCAAGCTTGAAGTCCCAGCAAAGAAAAAAATTGTAAATGATTTTCTGATTGTCAGATGTCTGTGATTTTTCACAACATTCCAGAACATCTAAACATTTTTGCCCGTTGCCCGACACTTCCGTATCTACATCAACTCCCCAAAAATAATAATCCCAAAAAAAAAAAATGTAATGGGGAAAAAAATAAAATAAGTATTTTTTACTAATATTTGCATTGTATTTGTCAAACACTTTGCCCAAGTGACAGGCAGATGAGAACATTTCTATTTCTACAGCCCTGACATTATGATCGTCTTCAGTCATTCAACCTGCATTACTGTCTTATTTTACATCTTCATTTTTGCAGTTTAACTGCTGCGCCACTTGCACCCACCACCATAAAACAATCACAAAGTCGCTCTACTATGAAGCATAAATTAGACAGAGCTTCATCCCTGTGTAATACTGAAACTAAATCTTAAAGCACATCTGTTGTGCTCATACTGACATCAAATCAATGTAGATTTCCTGTGTGGACAGGCAGACCACATGCACGTCTGAAAACTCAAAGAACTGTTTGATCAGGGAAGCCAACATGCTTCTCCTGACGAGCTATGTTTAAGACCTTAATATGAAGTAAAAAGTACTGAAATACGATGCTCCGGAACTCAATATGTGGAGAAACTCTACGTACAGTATAGTGGATCGAGATACAAAGAGTAACAGGGATTGAGTTGAACTCAGCAGTAGGAAAGTTTGCCCTAGAGTGAAATTGTTTATATATTTGAAATATAAAACGTGATTCAAGTTTCTTTACGTTAGCGTTAACATAACTACAGGAGGGGGCCGAACCTGCTCTGCACATGATAACAGGAAGCCAAATGTTTTTGAAATATATTTGGGTCTTCGCTGAATTATGCCCAGCTGCTACCATCTGCACACACACATGAAATATGATCATGACCATGTATTTTTCTCCTTGTTGGTGGGGTGATTTCTCTTTTAGTTAGTATTTTAGTAGCGGTTGAGGACAGAACACACGCAGCAGAGTTTACACTCTGTCAAGGCATTACTTGATTTGGTCTTATTTGTGTGTTGAAAAGTCCAGATAACTGTAACATTACAGTACCAAAAACACTCCACGGCTTTCTGTCCTTTACATATCGATCAAAGCGCCTGCTTGACTGCTCTGTGGCCTCTGTCTCCATGATGGGTCACGTCCCTGCGGGCTCCTCCTACGTATCCCAGCATCCTCTGCGTGCAGTCCAGGCTAGGCAGAGTCCTTGGGCCTTGTGGCGTTATCACCATCATTTGCTGTCATGGGAACTTTGGCTTGGCTCGGGAACGAGCCTTCCCCTGAGCCGAGAGAGTCCCTTCCCATCAAGCCTTTCAGAGCTAAACGCTCAACGCGCTTTCCCGGCAACCTCTTGGCTTTTCCCAGGTGGCGGGGCTACCGTGGGAGCATGTTTCTGTAGTCCGACAGGTTGCCGGACTGTGAGTGATGCTGCTGCTGCTGTTGTGGCTGTATGTATCCCACAGTGCTTTGCTGTGGAACGCTAGGGGTGTGGAATAAGGCCTGAGTGGGAGCACTGTGAATCAGACCTTGAGGCTGCATCTTCAAGAGAGAAAGAGAAAGGTTACCATGTTTTTGAGGCATTCATATGAATCAGACAACATGATTCAAGACAAATTGTGACCCTGGACCACAAAACCATAATCATAGTCATAAGAAGCACAGGTATTTTTGTATCAATAGCCAACAATATGGGTCAAAATGATCAATTTTTCTTTTATGCCAGAACATTAAGTAAAGATCATGTTCCATGAAGATATTTTTTTAAATGTCCTACCATAAATATATAAAAAATTGACCCTTATGACTGGTTTTGTGGTCCAGGGTCACATATGATTCGGAACTGTAAATCTGAATCACAATATTGTTTACCTGAAAGAACTGCTGAGGTTGTTGTAGTGGTAAACTGTGTGGGGCAGCCGACGGGTGAGGCGTGTAGGTGGGCGTGGCCTGATGGGTGATGAAACTATTATGGGGGATCATGATTGGTGAGGTGAAGACGGGGGAAGGGACAAGCACAGCGTTACAGTTCACCTGCTGCACAGGGAAGGAAGGAGCCATCATCTGCTGGTCCAGAGCATATCTGTAACACACAAACATTTTTGGTCAATTTCGAATAGTATGCTAGCATACTACTTCTGTTACGGCACATATAGCAAAAGTAGTATGCTCTTCCAAATTTAGCCTATCATTGGGTCTATGACTTCATGTTCCTTTTGAATGGGGCCGTCATGCTCAAACACACTCACTTGGTTTGTTGAACAGTTGAGCTGCATTGGGAAGACTGGGCCCCTCCATTGCTGTCTGGTACAAGCGTCTGCATTGGTTGGTTTAGTAGCAGCCTACCAATCCAAAAACACCCCATATGATATTACTGATCAGATCAGGGAACATGTTTGTTATAATTACACATTCTGTAATATTACCAAAATCAGCCAATCATGAAGCTCCCTCACTCTACCAATCAGAAAACACCTCTTATTCTGTTGTTCCCAGTAAAGTCATGGCTAAATTAGATTGTTACTACTCTATCATGGATCTACTGTAATCTATTATTTATTAGAAACAGCCAAATAAGTTATTTTTTGCTAAAATGGTTAAAATGTCATGAGAAACTGCTATTCCAATCAGAGAAACTGTATTAAAGGGATAGTTGACCCAAAAATAAAAGTTCTGTCATTAACTGCTCACCCTCATGTCATTCCAAATCTGTAAGACCTTCGTTCATCTTCAGAACACAAATTAAGATATTTTAAATTAAGAGCTTTCCCCGCATAGACAGCAATGCAACTGACACGTTCAAGGGCCAGAAAGGTGGTAAGGACATCATTAAAACAGTCCATGTGACATCAGTAGTTCAACTGTATTGTTATGAAGCTACGAGAATACTTTTTGTGTGCAAAGAAAATAAAAAGAATGACTTTATTTAACTTCTCTTCCGATTCAGGTGAGTAATTAATGGCAGAATTTTCATTTTTAGGAATACATGTTTTGGGCTCCAAGCCTTTACTCTTTTCAACGGAAAATACTATCTCAACAGCTGTTTATAAGCACTATTTATTCAAACCACACATTTAATGCTTTCCGAGTATACTTTCATTTAATACTAGGATTAGGATCTTGATTTTTCAAGAGTACTCAACCAAATTTTCACACTGAACATTCGTCTTGGTGTGAACAGGCCTTTGCAATGTTCTTCTGCCACAGTAAACTGTTTTTCTGTGTGTTTAAGGTGTGTTGTTACCGTAGCTGTCCGTCCTGGCTGTAGTTGGTGTGTGTGTGTCTTTGGCAGTGTGTGTCGTGTTGGGTTCGGTGTCCGTGGTTGGGTGAGAACATCATTGGGTTGCTATAGAAGGGTGTGGTGAGACTGGTGTGTGTCTGCATTGGAACACTGACGGCCTGCATGTGTCCAGTCTGAACCAGTCTCTGCTGGGCCTAAACACACACAAAAAAGACATCCATAACTGAATGAGTCTTCGAGTGAGTAATATATATGTTTGTGTGTGTGTTGTGCATAATGTGTACCTGAGCAGATGAGCTACTGGGCTGTTCTCGGAGTAGTGCGTGTGATGAATGTGAAGCACAGTGTTGAGGTTTGGGCTGGGTGCTGTGTTGGGATGGCCTGCCTGGACCCTGCTGCTGCAGACCAGAACTGGCAAATTCTCCCTGTATTGGCTGCTGGAGTAACATCTGCAAACACAGAGACCCAAACATACAGTGGGTACGGAAAGTATTCAGACCCCTTTAAATTTTTCACTCTTTTTCTATGTGTGAAGTATTCTATCTGTTCCCAGTTTGCACAAATAAAGATAACATTGCATGTTTAAAATTATGTGCCTGTACCTGTAGATTAGCAAGTTGTAGTTTCTCTTTAATGTCGTGCAGCTCTTGTTGTTGTGTTTTGATGTCGGCCTGTAGGATGCGTGTCCGCTCTTCTAGCTGCTCTTTCAGCTGATGCATGACGCCTAACTGAGGCTGCTGGAATCTGTACAGAGATTGTGTCTGCAACCCACATCCACACAGAACACTGAGAAGACACACTCAAATATACAAAAGGAGCAAACACATAGCGCTTTTCTACCTTTTGGAAACGGTATACTTCTTTCAAATCTGGCCATTGTTTCCACTGAGCCGAATGAAGACATGACTGACTACATTATTGCATAACATTTTGAAAAGCTATTTTAGAGCTATTTTGAATGCCACTGTGAGCTGCAATGGGCAGAAGTTATAACAAATACAATTTATAGCAATCGACCGACAGTACATTCACAATTTTTATTCAGATAATTTTATTTTAGATGGACAAAGTGGCTGCTTTTTGTATGCATGAGTACAGCATTACAGCCCTGATATTAGCAGTCCTTGGTTTAAGTCCAGCAGGTTTTTGGGACCAGTGCAAAACCATTTTAATAGCCCTAAACTGCCATTCCTGCAGCAGAAATATGTGGGAGGTTCTAGATTGGGCACCGTCACCCAGTCGACGGTAAAATGTTGACAGTCTTTCTATTCTAAGATTACAACAAACACTAAACTGTAGCTTTACTTACACATGGAGAAAAAGAAAGATAAAAGAAAAAGTGGGGAAAGAAAGAGAGCAGCTGGAAGAGACTGACCATAGTGGAATGCTGACTGCAGGAGGGGGAGAGTGACGTGGGCTCAGAGGAGCTCTGCCTCTGAATCAGGGTCTAAAACAGAGAGACAAAACATTCAGATGCAAACACACACACACGACCATAAAGGTTGGGGGGTCAGTAAGATTTTTTAAGTAAGGGACATCAGTTGCAAAATTCACTTTTACATGGTGTTTGCATTTAACTGTGTCTTACTGTAGCAGTGTATGGACACAACCAATCTACAATGATGAAAATGTAAAAAAAAAAATTTTTTTAATCCCCAAAAAATCTAAACATTCTCAATAATCAAAGCCGTTTTGATTTCCAGAGCAGTATGATGTCATATTGCTCAAGCCCCGCCCACAAGTGCTGACGGACTGTTCCGTATTAGCATTTCCTCCCTCAGCCAGTTGTACACTGATACCAACTTGTGGAAAATGGGCATCCAATGTCCCCTTTTGTAAGGAAATTATGGTTTTATTCAGCAAGGATGCTTTAAATTGAACTAACGTTAGAGTAAAGATTTTTACTTTGTTACTAAAGATCTCTATGTCACATAAATGCTGTTCTTTTGAACTTTCTATTCATCAAGTAATCCTGAGAAAAATCATCACAGTTTCCACCAAAATAATAAGCAGCACAACCGTTTTCAACATGCTAATAAGATATGTTATGAAGACCAAAATCAGCATATTAGAATGATTTCTGAAGGATCATGTAAGATGAAGATGAAGATGTGCAGATTTGTACCTTTGATCCACTATGTGGCATTCTGCTGGAACTCTTCTCAGGACCAATGGAAGCAGACTGCCGTGACGACGTGCATGCTTCTGTGTACCTCACCGATGAGTTCGCTATGGACACAGACACACACAGGCTTTCACATGATCACCTGATGTACAAGTGCACCTCATAAGTGCAGAATGTTAGCCGAGGTGTGTTTGTACTTACACGCAGAGTCAGACAGTGCTGTGTGCGATGACTTTCTAGAACTTTGTGATGACACTGATCGAGCGCTGCTGATTCTTTCCCGTGTAGCTTCTAAAGGAGGACACATGTCCAAAAACACCTCCTGCTCCTGCACACAAAACACATTAAAGGAATAGTTCAGCCAAAAATGAACATTTGCGGTCATCCTCAATCCATCCAAGATATAGAGGAGTTTGTTTCTTCATCAGAACAGATT